TAGACCACGTGTTGGACTTCTTCAGTTCTTCTCTGAGCTTCTTCTCGTTCTTTTGTTCCTTGACTTCCTATAGGTGATGACTCTGACTTATAACTCCTCAGAAATTGTCTCTCACTTGGCTGACCATATGGGTAAAGTTGAAGTTAGGCTTACTTTTATAGAGGATATGCGTGCTAAGTATATTCATTGCAAAATAAATGTATTCATTGCATACCGTAATAACTTTCAAGAAAAAAAATTAGTTCGTTGGACGTCAACTTTCCATTGGCAGCAATGGAGAAAAGATAGAAAAAGGCTTGGTACCAGAAAACCGCTCTGTATTTCTTGATAGCAATCTCTCAGGTGACTACTAGACCCCATTAGATCCTCAGGATGCTTTCTAAGCTTCCGAAAAAGGCCTCAAGAAGGTAGCAAGGCAAGAAAATGTGTTTCCCCCCATTGAACTCTTAATAAACTTGCATGGCGGCCAATTTACTGTGTGGGTTGGATATACGGTACTTAAAAGCTATGAATATACTTAGCACGCATATCCTCTATTGAAAATTGTTATACACCAAGAGATCAAACTTATGAACCTACATCAATGTCTTATTGTCAAGAATGGGGCAAGCTTAGTGATGCTTCATTTAACGGGAAAGGAGCTAATCCTAGCATGATTCAAGTCGCTGAAGACGTTGATTTGACTCTAACGACTAATACAGAGTCTCTGGTACAAGATGACGCCCCACTAAAGAAGCTGAGGCCTCAACACAAAATGGCCTCATTGTAAAAGAACCACTGGAGCAGTAAGTGTCCTTACAAGGATACTCTTGATGTTACGACTGAGGAGTCCCTAACAAGCTTGGAGTCTTAAGTGAAGTAAGTAAAGGATTGATTTACTTTCAAGTACTGTCACTTTAGTGTTGCAAAATTATAGTATTTAGTGTTTTTTAAAATTACCAGCTGTTTACGGCACTTTTCCATCAATGGAATTTTGAGTAGCGTTGTTATTTTTAATGTATGCCGTATTGCTAAAATAAAAGCACAATAATAATAATAATAATAACAATGTACTTTTCTTTCTCTCTCATTCTTAGTCTTTCTTATTAACAACAACTACATTTCTTATCTTTCTTACGAGGGATTTGTAACGAGCTTGGAGTCTTGAGAGAAGTAAGTAAAGGATTGATTTACTGATGGTCATGTACTGTCCCTTTTAATATTATAAAATTTTAGTATTTTAAAATTACCAACTATACGGTATTCATCTATGAATGGAATTTTGAGTAGAAGAGCTACATGTAAAAACTTGGCAGACTACGATTGACGGACATCAAGACAATAATTAGAATAAAATTAATAGTTTAATAACGTATAGTACCACTCTCTCTCTCTCTTTCTCCATCTTGTAGTTGATGTTTCAGAATTTGTTCAAGGGAAGGTGCTCATTGAAGTCATTGCCATTAGTTACAAGGAGCCACGCCCACATGAAACAGACGAGGGAGATGATGTTAGCAGGTGTTGTGTTGAAGCTAAAGTTAGTAATATATTGTGTGATGTAATTATGATGTCATGAACTTTTAGATAAAAATAAAGTTTTCTGTTGATAGTGTCAGTGCCTATATTGATTGCTCTTTTAATCGAATTTTACAGGTCAATCAGGTGCAAAAAATATTTTTAAACTAATTTTATATTACAATGTATTTTTTAAAGTATTCAGGAGGTTGACTTGACCTTTGTGGGTTCCCGTGACCTTTTGACCTCTTAAACTGAAGCACATATCATGACCCATAGGATTGACCACACCCTCTCTCTGCCTCTTGAACTTTTTTGCATTCCAACAAAACTACAGGCTAGGCAGCATAAGGTATGTTAAACACGTAGCATAAGTACAGTACATGTACATCAATATGCATCAGAAATGGGGATTTGTGAGCCATTTTTATACATTGGTCCAATTTTTGAACACCTTTTAAAAATTTTTTAAAAATTTAAACTTCATCTAAATCAGTTTAAACTTTCTACATAACATTAGTACATGCATGCATATCAGAAAAATTGTAAAAATTAAATTTTTTTTTTCATTTTTGACGAAATTTGCCAAATTCCTGGTACAGGATGTTGGCCTCATTTTTAAGCAATTTTTAAATTCATATAAAATCCAAACTTGATTGGAATCAGTTCAAACTTTGTACACAACATAGAAACATGTATTTGCATCTGGAACAAATATATAAAATGGAGAATTCTCTCCTTTTCATTTTTGACAAAATTTTAGACAAAATCCCTGTACTAGAGTACGGGATGTTGCCCCCATTTTTGAGTAACTTAATAACCCACTGACAAGAAGCTGCAGGAACATTATGCCAGAAATTCCATGGGAATCCCTGCATATTACCAATGCCATCTCTTTCAAATCAAGTATTAACTGAGAATGATGATGCAACATTATATCATTAACCATCTTTCAAGACTGATTCCCTAACTGATGATTTGTATTAACTGACTCAATTTATTACAATGTACTAACAACTAGCTGTTCTTGTTGCTACATGTACATGTACATACATGTATTGGTCTTATTTGGGCGGTGTGATTTTAAAGAATACACAACGCTATACAAAAATGGCTCCAAAATCACCCCCAGTTTTTATTACATTTTCTGATACATATTGATGTCCTTATGCTATGTAGAAAGTTTGAGCTGTTTCCAACAAATAATTTTAAAGTTATGAGCATTTTAAAAATCGGCCAATTTTTGAAAATTACCCAAGGCTATAGTATAGCCCATGCTTTTTTCCAAAAAATGGCTCCGAAATCACACCCAATTTTTATTACATTTTTCGATATGTATTGATGTCCTTATGCCATGTAGAAAGTTTGAGCTGTTTCCAACAAATAATTTTTAAGTTATGAGCATTTTAAAAAATCAGCCAATTTTTGAAAATTACCAAGGCTATAGCCCATGCTTTTTCCAAAAAATGGCTCCAAAATCACCCCCAATTTTATTACATTTTTGATGCATATTGATGTCCTTATGCTATGTACAAAGTTTGAGCTGATTCCGACAAATAATTTTTGAGTTGTGAGCACTTTTAAAATGAGTCAATTTTTAAAGAAGAGCAAAGGTTTGTTCTAAAAAATGGTTTCGAAGTCACCATAATTATGTTTTTTTAATTCTGGTGCATATTGAGTTTTGACCATTTTGAAACTGAGGCAATTTCTAAAAAGTGGTTCCAAACCATCTCTAATTATTGTGTCTTTGAGCTTTTTGACTGATTTACAAATTCCAACCCTTAAAATGCATTCAGTGCATTGCCACTGCAGTTAGTAACTTAGTACTGATCAATGTTGTACATATAGATGTAACAAGTTCCCTAAGGCCTGATTTATTATTAATATGTTGTAGGGTCTTGTTGGATACTTTACCATTGGGTTTGAGGTTCCCTCTTATCCTGTGTACTTCAGTACTAGTCCACAAGATACACCCACTCACTGGCATCAGAGGATATTCTTCCTCAATGAACCCATACAAGTTCAAACAGGTGGGTCTGGTTTAAGACTAATGTACTCATTACTGTCTATACTTATTAATTGGGTGAAGAACAAGTCAGTATATCAAATACTGTCTGTCTGTTTCTATGTACCAGTACATTACTCCTAATTATACATGTACATGTACGTTGATTATTATTGTTAATTATTTTATTATTATTATTAGGTGATCTATTACATGGTTACTGTAAGAGCAAGGATTGTTCAAGATCACTTGATATCAAGATACAGATGATGTTATTTCCACTCTCAAAAGAATCCCAAGTACCAGAACACATGTACACTATCATCATGTGTGTTTAGTTTGTCTTCGGAATTAATAACATTATTGTTAAACTCTTTGCTAATTAATATTAAAAAAAATTATTTAAAACAAGCAATAATAATGAAGCAAATCAATTATATTAAACATCAATGTTAATATTAAAATCAAATCCCAGTTCATTCCTAATAGCTTCAATCCAGTCTTCACCTAAAGCTATTGCTGCATCAGCATAACTGCCTCTTACAGCAATGAATGAGCTTAAGAACTTTTGACAGTGCTCCTGCACTTGAGATAACTTCCTTTTAAAACTAAGACTAGCCTTGAACTCTGTAATAAACTTTTCCATGCTACGAGTCTCTCTGACTTCATCACTAATAAGATGAGCTGCATATAACTGACTGGCAAGATCTGAGAGAGACGTCTTAAGAGAATTAAGTGCAGCATAATGAGATACAAGAACATCATC